CCTGCCACGCGCCCAAAAAACTTCGCGGAAGCCAGGAAGCCCAACATAGAGAGGACCAAGCTCCAACCTAAGGACCCTGTCCACATCTTGGCGGTATTCCGAGGAGTTGGCGAAACTGCCCGTGTTGTGTAGCCATGGGGTTTGCTGGAAGGAAGATGGCACTAGGCGGGGAGGCGGGGTGGACTCGGCGACGGCGCGGTAGACTTGATCCCAGATCAGGGCATCGTTTGGATCACCGGCGAGGGCCGCACGCAGCAGGGGCTTGATACGGTCGAGGTCGAAGTCGTCGGAAGCAACGGCCAAGTTGAGTCTTGCAATGTCAGCGAGGACATTTTTGCCTGTGCCGCCGGAGCGAAGCAAACGAGAGGCGGGAAGGATCTGTAGCGCCGAGAGGAGGGCGATGACAATGGTTTGGAAATCTGCGTCATGGTTAGAAGGGCATACTAAAGCGAAGCCGGGCGGTCTTCCCTGCCTTCTTGGTCAAGTTGACCCAACGCGTCAGGAGTGCGCGGCACCTGCTTCTCGTCGCAGATCGATGCGAATAATGCGTAGAAGGTAGCAAGGCCGTTTCCAATAGGATTATCTCGAACGATCTCTGACCGGGGTCGATCTGCCATGACGGATTGGACTCTGCTGAAATGGAAGGACGGTCGGAAAGACCGAAAAAAAAATCGAAATCACGGTTGCTCCCAGCCAGCCAGATGCACGTGCTGATAGTCTTATCTGTCTGTGGGGCGCCCTTCCAACGCCTCCGTCCACCTTCTCCCGAAAAAATCTTTTTCTCCTGACGGCAGCCAATAGGAGGCCGGCGGGGCAGAAGATTTGGGCGTAAACCTATCAGATCTGGTTAATCTGTAGCACGACAAAACACCAAAAGGACAGTCACGAACTCTTCCCATATCCCCTACAATCGGCGCGCCCTTTACAGGCCCGCGCGCCCCACAAAATGTACACCCCAACCACCATAGCTGAGCAGCTTGAAAAACTGCACAAAAAACAAGTCGAAGATGCCGCCGCGCGGTACGAGACAGTGGAGGCGGTCCTGAAAGCCGCTACAGAAGCCCTCATCCCCCTCCAAACTCCTGCCCAGAAGAAGGCCGGTGCGGCCCTCTGGCAAAAACTCCACCAGGTGCTCCTTGGAAGCATAATATCGGAACATAACAACCAGCCGGGAGGGGAACCTTCCCCTCCCCCAACCCCTCGGGCACCAACGCCGGTGCAGACGACCGGAGCCCAAAGGGCCCCGAAAGGACCAGTCAGCTACGCTGACGCGGCTAAGCCCGCCAATTACCAGGACTGGACGGAGGTCCAGTCATAAACAAAGAAGGCGGCCAATAGGGCCGCAACCAAGGGACCGGAATCCCCAGCCAAACATATGGCCGACAAGCCATCCAGACGGGTGTTCCTCCGCCTGGCCCGTGAACACGAGCTCCGCAACGTGCAGGCGGAGACCCTGATGGCCCTAATGGAGGGCGCAACATGGGGGGTCCCCAAAGGCCTCATCACACAGGCACATAAGGTCGGCTCAGGTTGGGCTGTTACCATGAAAACCGCAGCAGCAAGGGCGACCCTCGTTACGGCTGCAAAGAAGCAAGGGCACGTGGCAGAGCCCGAAGAAAAGACAGTGGCATACTCCGTCCGGGGTGTGCCAGAAAAGTACATGGACGGCACCGGCGTACAGGCTCCGGTAACCTCCGAAGTGGTCGCTAGAGAGGCGTCTAGACATACCGGACAAGAAGCTAAGGCCGTGGCCGGACGACGGCCCGGAAACTTCACGGTAATCGTGGGCAAAGAGTGCAAGCCCTTCCGCATACTCGGATCCGACCCGGCCCGATTAATTCAGAGGAAGGTGCACGTCGAGATGTGTTGGCGGTGCTTCGGCCCACACAATGAAGAAAAATGCGCCGGCGCAAAAAGATGCGCGGAGTGCGGAGCGGTAGTAGGACAGACCGGGTGCACGCACCCCAACCCACCGCAATGCCCAGGGTGCCTAGGGCCATATAAGCCAGGACACCTAGGGTGCCCATGTTGGCCCAAGGTGGTTAACAACCAGGTGGTTAAACTGTCTGCCAGACAAAGACAAGGATTCCGCACCCTCGGAAAGGTAGAATACAGGAAGGCGAGGAGCATTACGGTGCCAAAGCCAGACCAAATGGACGTAGACGAACCACTTATAACACTCCCTCCTGCACCCGCAAAAGAAAGCAAGACGGCCCACGGAGAACCGGAAGCCGAAGGAAGAAAGACCCCACCCCCGGCCCAAGAGCCGGCGACGTCACCGACCTGCTCCAGGAAAACAACCACCAGAAAAATCCCCCTCCAGAAACCAACGTCCCCAATACTTAAGGGGAAGAAGGTCACAATCGAGATTCCGAGCGATTCGTCAAGCGATTCGAGCACGGCCCCCAGCCCTGCGAAACCCGGATATAAGTTCTTAATGGCAGAAGAGAAGGCCAAGGAGGTGGCCCGCAAGCTCTTCCCAACCAAACCCACCCCTAAGGAGGCAGCCAGCCAGAAGGCGGCCCCGAATACCACCCCAGAGAACCGGGACCCGTTCGTAAAACAAATCTGGGAAACTATAAACCTCGCGGAAATAGTGGCCGCACAAGCGGCCGCGCGAGGCGAAGACAAGACCAAAGTTCTTAGAGCCGCCAAGGCCCACGCGGGCCAAGATTGGGCTACGTTCCGGGAGGCAATCCGGCACGGCAAGGAAACCCCAACGAAAGAGACCCCGGATTGGGACGGCCGCTGGGGGACGAGGCTAACGGCCCAAATCCTGGAACTTAGCTGGAAAAGAAGCAGCAAGGCCTTAGAGCTAATCTGCAGGCTGGAACACCTCCTGCGCACCGAAAGACGGGCATCGGTCGCGGTTAGAAACTTTCATAACGAAGTAAGCCGCGAGGCAGGCGTGGAAGAGCTCGAGGACCCGACAACCTGGAACCCCACCGTGGAACAGGTAGCTCAGCTGCAGGAGGCCGTCGTCCGGTCCTGCGAACTAAAAGGGCACAGAAAAGAATGCAATTAGAGAAGCCATGTTGTGGCCGGCTCGCGGGGGAAGGTGGTACGAAACAACCAGCTCGATACAGAAAAGAGACCCGCCCCCAGTAGACGAAGCCGCTCCGAACGCCGAGTCCGAAAGCCTGTTTGTCGCCCTCGACTCGATTAAAAACGGTATGACATGGGAACAGCTAAAGAAGGCACCGCTAGCCCTACCCCAAGGACAAGACTTTACCACGTACCTAAGAGCCATTACAGGTACCACACCAGCCCCCACACAAGAACCGAATGACCTGTAAAGTTATATTCGGCAACGTAGGGAGAGGGCTAGCGGCCGTAGACGGGCTGCTAGAGTATGCAAGGGAGAAAAAGGCGGATTTCGTTTGCGTGAACGAGCCAGCACTGCTAAACAACAAACCACGCAAACACCCCGGTTGGACAGTCGTGGCGAAAAAGGGCCCGAAATGCAGGGCAGCAGTGTACGTGGGGAAACACATTACGGGATGGAACACAGAAGGCAGACCCGAATACCACTCGGTATCGGTACGGGCTGCAGGGCTATCGGTATCGACATCATACTGGCATCCGAGACGCGGCAAAGAACGGAAGGCCCAGGCCTGGTGTGAGGCACTCGACCTAAAAAAGAAAAGAATCCTGGTCGGGGACTTTAACGCCCGACACCCAGATTGGAACAGGAAACCCTGTTGGTCAAAAAGAGGACAAACAGTGGCAGACCTAACAACAAAACTAGGCCTACACCTCCTCAACCCGGGGAAGAAACCCACACACCAAAAGGGCAATACGCTGGACCTCGCGTTTGGCCCCCCGGAAGCAACCGCAAGAACTGGGTACTGGGTGTCGGACCACAAGACCCTAAAGGTGACAATACGCGGCCCACAGCCACTAAGGACCCCGCCAACGCCGTACCTCCCCTGGGAGGAGGAAAAAGAAGCGGGCAGGACAGTGAATACAGAACTGGGGCCTACCCCGGACGTGGCCACAACCACAAGCCAACTGGACCAACAGACCTGGCACGTGCACAACGTCATCACAGGCGCGGTACAAGCCCTAGGATACCGGAGGACAGCACGACCTAGGGCCAAATGGTGGAACCCCGAACTGAAAGAAGCCAGGAAGAAGGGCCCCGAGGAGTTTAAAAGGCAATGCCGGAAAACCAGGCGCGAACACTACCAAACCGCCTTAGCCAAAGCAGGCCCGAACGAATTAGGACAGTTTTACAAGTGGAAGAACACCACTCCGGACGACAGGCCCTCCGAACTACGAGTGGCAGGCCGGAGGGTGACAAACTAGGGAGCCATAGCGGAGGAACTCGCCAGGGCCGCCTTTCCGGAACCCACGGAAGCCTCCCCAAAGGTTAGAGGATGGGACACCAAAAAGGTCCCAGACCTACTAGCGGAAAAAGTATGCGAGGCCCCGACGCCCGAGGAAGTCCGACAATCCTTCCTTATTAGGACCTTAACAAGCCTGGGCCCAGACTGGATTACAGTCAGCAACCTTAAAGGGCTGTGGGGCGCAAACCTACAGGGCCACCTGACAGCGATATGCCGCGGGGCGATTAGATTGGGGCACCTCCCGCAGGCCTGGAAACGGGCCACGGTGATCACCCTGTCCAAGGCCGGGAGGGACCACAAAACCACCAGCGGCTGGAGGCCAATCACACTACTATCAGTACTGGGCAAAGGCCTCGAGAGGCTAATGCAAAGGAGGATGGCAGTAGCGGCAGTCCTCGGCGACGCGGTAGGCAGGGACATAGCGGGGGCACTCCCCCTCAGATCGGCACAGGACCTGGTGGCATGCCTCGTTTTCGACGCGGATAGGGCAAGGCGCAAAGGAATGCACGGATTCCTCACAACCTTCGACATAAAATCAGCCTTTCCGTCAGTTAGCCGCGCGACTCTCGGGGTAGCACTATCAGCACAAGGCTGGCGCCCGGAAACCGTCGCACTGGCACAATCGTTCGTGACCGACAGAAGGTACCGCTTCAAATGGCACGACAAAATATTCCGGGCGAGCGACGGACTGCCACAAGGGTCACCATGGTCCCCAGTACTCCTCACGATGGTACTGGCCACCCTGGTCAAAGCACCCTTTCTTCACAACCACGGGGCCACGTACACCTACATGGACGATATCGCCCAGTACAGCACCGACCGCGACCCGGAAATAGCAGCCAGGAAGGCCACAATGCGAGCGTGGCTGCTAGACGAAAACCTACGGAGGGCAGGGCTACGACTGGACCCAGGGAAGACGGAGCTGCTTTATACCCCACCCGGCGGCAAAAGCTCCGCCAGGAAAGCAATCCCGATAGCAATCAGGAACCTTCACCTCCCAACCGGCCGGGTTGTCGCCAGTACCCAAGTCACCTGGCTTGGGGTGGGCTTAAAAGTGACAGAGCAACAAGGCATCACCCCCGCTGCAAACACAGCGCTAAGAACCAAAAAGGCCCAAACAATAACCGCCCTTACGAAACGGGTAAACGCGGTATACAAAGGGCTGCGGCCAGACGCAGCCAGGACGTGGTTCAAATCGGGGGTGGTCCCCGACCCTTACATACGGCCTTTGGCCGCTGTTTCAGGGCGTTCAGAACCGCAA